CTAACCAAAAACAAATGCTGAAGCATGCACCACTCTTTTTATACCTTTCTTTTGGGTTTCATGGGATAAAGAGGAGAACTCTTCCATGCATATAGTTTGTGATTTTTTAGCCTTTGGATAGGCAAAGAAAGAAAGAGATAACCATGGAAATGCTCATTGACCATTGAAAGCTTATGTCCTCTGCAGCGTTTTTGTGGCTCAATGATTATCCCAAATCCGTGAGTCTAAACGCAGTAGCTTTTCAAGCTGTGGTTTTGATGAGACTTGACAGTAATGCAGCAGTGTCCAAACAGTACAATGCTCAGTGGACCCCAAAAGCATGAAGGCCAATCCATTCATTCCTTCATTTATTCTTTCTGCACTTACAGCCCTTTCCATGTGATTGATAGGATGCTAAAAACTAGGGTGACAAAGATTGTTTCTAATTCAGAGGAAAACAAGAGACATACTAAACGGCATTCGTTTGTTCTTGGATTACTATAAAGAAATACGGGCAAGGCGTGGTGGCTCACGCCTGTAATCCCAGCACTTTGGGAGGCCGAAGCGGGTGGATCACGAGGTCAAGAGATCGAGACCATCCTGGTCAACAAGGTGAAACACCGTCTCTACTAAAAAATACAAAAATTATCTGGGCATGGTGGCGTGCGCCTGTAGTCCCAGCGACTCGGGAGGCTGAGGCAGGAGAATTGCCTGAACCCAGGAGACGGAGGTTGAGGTGAGCCGAGATCGTGCCATTGCACTCCAGCCTGGGTAACAAGAGTGAGACTCCGTCTCAAAAAAAAAAAGAAAGAAATACGGGGACTAGGTAATTTATAAAGAAAAGATGATTGATTGGCTCATCATTCTGCAAGCTGTACAATCATGGCTCAGGCATCTGCTTAGCTTCTAGAAAGGCTTCAGGGAGCTATTCCTCATGGTAGAAGTCAAAGCAGGAGCTTGCCCTTCACATGGCAAAAGCAGGAGCCAGAGGGAGGAGGAAGGTGCCACACTTTAGAACAACCAGATCTCCCAAGAACTCACATCACTAGGACAGCACCAAGAGGTCAGTGTTAAACACTCATAAGAAATCCGCCCCCGTGATCCAATCTGCTCTCCCGGGCTCCACACGAGATCTGGGCAAGGACAAATATACAAACCATATCATAATCTCAAACGTTTACAAGGGTTCAGTCAGAAAAGAATTAAACTTTCTGGAAAAATAAATATGCAATTCTGTGTTGCTTTTATGTAGGGAATCACTGGCCTAATTAAAAGTCATTATGTCAATTGACCGCAATTTACGTGCTAATTTCTCAGAAGATGGTATAATCCAAAAGGGAAGTCTTGGGACACTAGTAGATAAGTAACTGAAGGTAATCTTTCCCCATCATTGTGCCTGAAGGAATGCTAGTCAAGATTATCCTTAGAAATGCTGCAGCAATTGAGGATGAATAAACAACACCTAGCTGGAAACACTGCGATAACAATATGCACCTTTGTGGTTTCTACAATGCCAAGTTCAGATGTAAGTAACACATTCCCCAGCAGGTACTCCTCTCAGCTGGTTTTTATCTGCTCTCCTGGGGGTGGCCCCCAGGAGCAAATTTCCTCATTCGAAGACATTTTTGTATGCCTAGGGGACTCAGAGTCATAGTGTCACAATACAACTTATAAAATTTTTATAACAGCAGGAATCTATTGACCAGTGAGTAAACCATAGATGCAGTAAAAATTCTGTGTGTCAGAATTTAGAAGCCAGGGCACAGCAGGTCGTGCCTGCTGCTCAGCTGCTGGTGTAGTTTCCTATGGCAGACCATCTTTTCATTAGTGCATTTCCACCTGTTCACTTACTGCCCCCAAGAAAGATGAATAAATAACCAACCAAAACGTTAAATGAAGACAGCCATTTTAAAAACTATTCCATCAAAATACAAAAATTAAAACGACAAAGAGGTCCTGTTTGTTTGAGAACTTAAAGGATCAAGATATAATCCTTGATCTGTCCAAGAAAGATGAAAATGGAGGGAGTTGGGATGTGGAAGGGAAATGAATTTATCTTGGTTACAAGACTGTGTGGGGAGGAGGAAGGGAGGGCCTCCTTTTCAATGCAGGATCACTTGTTTGCACGGTTGCATTGTGAAAACAACTGAGAATGCCCCACGTGGTCTAATTCTGCCATTCACAAAGAGGAGTTCTCTGAGGCTTGTCTAATAGTCCACCCATCCTAGGCTCACAGCCAGTCTAGCCCAAGCTGGGCATTATCAGGAACCTCTGGGTATTAGGAAAGAACCTGCTCTAACATGCCTAGCCTAGCAGGCGTGGTGTTACAAAAGATACAGGATGAAGAAAAGATGCTTCCTCCTCCAAGTTCTCCATTGATTATAACTAAGATAAGGAACACAACAGGTTCGGTGCACACCATTCCATCTGAGAGAGTGCTAACAGGGTGCTTTTCAAGCCCTTGAAAGCGAGAATCCATTTTCCCCAACTCCTCACTGAACAATGTCTGGGCTGGATGAAAGGGAAGCGGCGTTCTGCAGCTGTACTACTCTGACGGTTCCCAATCAGCAAGTCAAGCCATGGCAGAAATCTCTGCCTGGTCTAATAGGACGCTAAGATGGCTGCCTCTGCCACACCCCTCTCCCAGGACTCTACTTGGCATGGAAGGATGATGACATTGGAGGTTTCCTCCTCCCAGCTCCCATGAAGGGTGCCCTGCCTACATAGAGGTATATTTCAGAGAAATGAAAGGTGATTACTCCTCACACAAGGGTTGGGAGTAATTGCTTCTAAGGAAACATAATACTCAGGAAAAAGAGGTGCCAAATGAGAACTGTGCCTAACCCCTGACCTCTGTGGGGAGCTGCAGGGCCACAGTGAGGCAGTGGTGCAGGGTGACCAGGCACACATGATGGGATACCTGCCCTAATTCATTCATTGAAAAAACACTTATCAAGCACCTGCCATATGCCTGACATCGCCAGTACTCAGTTTTCCTCACCAAACGTTTTAAGAACTGTTTCTCGAGTTATGAAGTGCTAACAAAGAAAAGCACAGGAATGACACAAAGTTGTGCAAGTTGTGACTGCACAAGGAGACCCAACCAGGGAAGGGAGCGGGAACTAAAATCCAACCCATGCTTCTCTTGCTAATGTAGCTACCCACACAGAGGGCTGTGTTTGTGCGGGGGATGCACCTTTTTCTAACGTGCAAAAAATACTGTCTAATCCAGCAGAGACCCTGTGCAGGAGATATGGCACACGGTCAGATGCCTGCAGGCTGCAGTTGCCCATTATTAACTCTTCCCCTAAGAACAGATGAATGAATATGTCATTGCCTCATTTTCCTCATCCGTAAGATGCAGGCAGTAGTGTTTGTCCATGCCTTATGCCTTGAGATAGTCATTGTAAGGAGCAGACTGAGCTCATTAGAAAGAAGATTCTTGGCTGGAGCAGTGGTTCATGCCTGTAATCTCGAGGTGTTGACCTTGAGAGGCCGAGGTGGGTGGATCACCTGAGGTCAGGAGTTTGATATGTTGACGGTTTCCTCCTCCCAGCTCCCATGAAGGGTGCCCTGCCTACATAGAGGTATATTTCACAGAAATGGCCAACATGGCAAAAGCTCATCTCTACTAAAAATACAAAAATTAGCTGGGAGTGGTGGTGTACTCCTCCAATCCCAGATGCCTGGGTGGCTGAGGTGGGAGAGTCACTTGATCCAAGAAGTGGAGGCTGCAGTGAGACAAGATTGTGCCACTGCACTCGAGCCTGGGTGACAGAGTGAGACCCTGTCTCAAAAAAAAAAATAAAAAACAAGAAAGAAGATTCTCAAAGAATATAATTATATTAAATAATATGTAACATATTATGTTAAATAACAGAATATATTTTCTTGATTTCTCCCAAGAGAGGGCTACCTATTAGCTATGGATCATCCTATAATCAGAAAAGAAACCCTATTGTGTAGTCCCTGCCAAGAAAAATTAGTGGAAACTCTTATTTTGCCAGGCAAGCAACGGAGCTGAAAAGACCTTAGCAAGGCACTAGCTACACTAGCCTATTCAGGGATCGAACTAAAACTTCAGTTCTTCATCAACCGTACTCTCAAATTTTATATGGAAACAAAGTTCACAAATAAGGTTACCAACTAACTTTTAGAAGGAGATGGAGAAGGGACTTTCATGCCTTCAGGGCTGACAATGTGTTTTTCTCGTCCTCGAATTTCAGGACCCACATTGAAATGTGAAAGCTCAATCAATGTCTGCTGGCATTTGTGGTGAGTGGTCAACATGCGCTTCCAAGTACCTGAACCTCTCACTTCCAAGGACATGTGGACTCAGATATGGGATTAGAAGAGCCCTGAATAATTCATACAAAAGAATCTAATTTGCTTAGGCCTGTGGAAGAGGAAATTCAATTCCCACGTTTAGAAACACTTTATATCTAACCTAAATCTTGCATGTTCTTCTTGTTCTAGTATGAATGGAGTAAAAAAAAAAATGCTATGAAATCATGACCCTGATTCTGCTTACCCAAGCTGTATAAATGGTCTCAGTCTATTTTCTATTGCTTATAACAAAATAACTGAAACTGGATAACTTTTTAAGAATGAGAATTTATTTCTTACAGTTATAAAGACCGAGAAGTCCAAGGTTGAGGGGCCTCATCAGGAGAGAGCCTCCCTGCTGGTGGTGAAGCAGGATAGTTCCCTGACCCCTTCACAGGACTCACAAAGGGGATGCCTCGTTTACTTGGCCTGCAGCTCTCAACTCCTCCTGTGCACACACACACACACACACACACGAGAGAACGAGGTGGGAACTGGCATGTGCTGTGTGTCCCCTGGAACTAGCTGGCCGCTTCAGCACCAGCAGGGGTGAAGTCCACCTCTCAAGGGAGAGAGCACACAGGTGAGAAGGTGTAGGAGCTGGGGTGAGTGCCTTTGGGCACCAACAGGTGTGTAAACTCTGTGCCAACTCACGGCTATGTCGGGGGGGGGGGCGCGGTGCTCACCACCCCTGAAGCCCCAGAGGGAGTGTTACAGTGCTCTTTTAGCTTTGCCATCAGTGTGCAGCTTAAAATGTTAAAAGCTCAGGACCCTCTGCCTTTTCATTTAAAGTGGCTGCCTTCCGCCAGCAAGGGCAAAGGGTCAGCGTGACAGCCTTTTGCAGCCACACTCATGGCACCCAAGCTCTTGTCCAGCATCCAGGAGAAATGAGATAACACAAATGAATTGAAGAATGGTAAATGTGGGGGATTTTATTGCTGATGAAAGTGGCTTTCAGCGGGAAGGGGAGCTGAAAGGCGGATGGGAAGGGAAGGTCATCTTCCTCTGAAGTTCAGCTGTCTCTGGCTGAATTCTTCACTGTCAAGCTGTCACTCAGAAATCAAATCACTTCTCTCCAATGTCCAACTGTAGTCTCCAATGTCCAGCTGTTTCTCCTCTCTGCCAGCTGAGTTCTGGGGTTATGATAGGCACAGGATAAAGCACAGGGAAAGCCATGGGTGGCTTTCAGACAACATTTGAGCAGGGAAACAGGGGTATAAGTTCTCACTTTGGGCAGGGCAGTGGTTTCAGACTTTCTGGCTTGAGGGTGGGGCCCTGGCTGGGGACCCACCCTCTTCTGCCCAGAATTTCCCTGTCTCCTGGAAGTCCCCTATTAGTGGGGACTCTGCAGAGGCCCGATGCTGCACAGGGCATCACATAGTGAGGGTTGTTAGCTCATGTCTCTCTTCCTCTTCTTACTAAGAAGCTACCGGTCCCACTTTAATGACAACTTATTAATCCATTAATCCATGAATAAAATCCAGGCACCACGTAAAGGCCACACCTCTCAGTATTACCATATTGGAGCTTACATTTCAACATGAATTTTGGAGGGGACATTCAAATCATAGCATACAGAAACTAAAAGATTGACATGTGAAGCTGGTCTAATCTAACTACTCTAATATGCTGTCTCTGAATTACCAATGAATTTATCTTTCTGGGTAAAAATCTAAATAAACTAATACTACTGTCATTAGGCCACTCTGGCCACTTGCTACAAGGACACTGCTTCTGAATTTCTTTTTGCCCAACTTATCTTTCAGTTGATTGTATTTTCAGCCTTGAAAGCCAACAGGTTGGTTGACTTCTTATCTAATTTTAATAAAACCTACAGATTGTAGTAGAGAAAAAGTAGATTCTTAGGTCTCCAGCTCAAGGTCCCATTGTCATTTCCCTCCTGAGAGTTAAGGAAGGGGTTTACAGAGGAAAATTCTCATGAGCCATGCTCAGTCTTTAAATGTGTTTACTCTGGATTCAGCGGCGTCAATTCCCCCAGCACAAAGATTAGATACTACTTTGTCACTTCATTCTTTTCCCAAGCAGATGGCCTTAGGAATGTATTTACTGCCACCTTGTGGAATAGAAATAAACGTATTTGCAAAAGGCCTATTCTAGTCGATTTTTGGTCACAACTTGAGAAGAGTTTTCTCCTGTTTTGATCATTTTGCTTTCTCTGGGAAGGAGCCTCTGTGCTGACCTTGTTACAGGAGCCTGTTGTACCTGGTGGGAGGTGAGGGGAAAGACTCAGTCTTCTTCTTACACTGTCATTCTCTGTCAAAATGGAGCTATAGCATATGAAAATCAAAAGCTTTCAGTCCTTGGAAAACTCCTAAACCTCACTGACAGTGCCAGGAATTGAACCATAATCCCAGATAATTATATTTACAAGAAAAGGCCTCCCCCTAATCTCTACAAAAGATAATACTATTCACGTATGTTTTGTATAGAAATCCGCATATATTATCTTAGCGTGTTTGGATTTTGATCTTAGACTAGAAAATCAGCCTGACCTAACAGAAGTGTCTAAAATTGTCTGCCCTACAATATATCACTCCATTTGCTTTTCATGCTGTGCGTGGTCTGATTTATTTTCTATTGAATTTTTCTGTTGCAAAGACATTTCTATAGGTGTATGTATCTCTTGAGATGGCTCTAAAAAAAGGACTGACTTAAAAACAAGACTGTACCCATGTTGGGATAAACATATCTGTTTTACCTCAGAGTGAATTATCTCATTATAGGAAAGTGTACATCTCATTAAATATACACCAAATTTTTTGTTGGTGGTGGTTTGAGACTGGGTCTCACTCCATCATCCAGGCTTCAGTGCAGTGGCCAGATCATGGCTCACTGCAGCCTCAACCTCCTGGGCACAAGTGATCCTCCCATCTCAGCATCCCTAGTAGCTGGGACTACAGGCATGCACAACCACAGCCAGCTGATTACTTTGCATTTTGTAGAGCTATGGTTTCATCATCTTACCGAGGCTAGTCTTGAAGTCCTTCACTTCAAGCAATCCATCAATCTCAGCCTCCCAAAGTGCTGGGATTAGAGGCATGAGCCACTGCACCTGGCCTACATCAAAATGTTTTAAAGGTTTACTTATAAATAATGCATCTTTTAATTTTGAAAACACACAGTCTTTTCACTTGGAAGAAGATGGTTTTGTACAGCTCTTCTTCACAGTACCTGAGTAATAACTCATATTGCTCAGCTGTAGCCTGAACCATCACGTTAGTTATCATATTGCACAGCAAGGACATTAAAGCTAAACAGAGGAAAGGTAGGAAGTAGCTAAAACTATCCTGCAGCAAAACTTCTTCGTTCATGAAGTCTTTTTTTTCTCACCAAAAGAAGAAATGAACTCTACCTAGGGTTGTGATTTTTGCCACACAATTCTCTTTATGTGCCAAAAGTTTCTGGAGCTGAAAGTTCAGGGGAGGAGGGACAGGTGACTATGAGGCTCTCTAGGGAATGCCTGGGAGTCTGGAATCCTGAAGTATGAATATGTGGGAGAGAAAAGGTGTGACACAAGGCAGGACCCAGAAAGGGAGCCAAACCAGATTCTCCGAGAGCCATGTAAGTCCCCAGACTCAGGTTTTTGGAGTATTGTCAAAGCTAGAGGGAAACAGAAAGGGTCAGGAGTCGGAGGATACAGTGAACTATGATAATGCCACTGCACTCCAGCTTGGGCAACAGAGCAAGACCCTGTCTCTTCAAAATAAAAAAGAGGCCAGGCACAGTGGCTCACCCCTGTAATCCCAGCACTTTGGGAGGCTGAGACAGATGAATCACCTTAAGTCGGGAGTTCGAGACCAGCCTGACCAACATGGAGAAACCCCATCTCTACTAAAAATACAAAATTTGCCAGGCATGGCTGTACATGGCTGTAATTCCAGCTACATGGGAGGCTGAGGCAGGAGAATTGCTTGAATCTGGGAGGCAGAGGTTGCAGTGAGCCAAGATCACACCATCGCACTCCAGCCTGGGCAACAAGAGCAAAACTCTATCTCAAAAAAAAAGAAGAAGAAAGTCAAGTCGGTCACCAAATATTTACTCAGAATGTTGGGTCACTGGTGTTGTTCACCAAATATGTCATCTCTCCCGCACTCAGGAGGAAATTGTACTTCCTGGTCCCCAGGTGCCTGAGCGGGGCCATGTGACTAGTTTTGATCAATGAGTAGAGAACAGAAATGACATGTGTCACTTCCAGGGCAGAACATTTGATTGTTGCAAGACTTAGAGTTCTTTATTGTCCATGGGGCAGTGGCCTGAAATTCATGGTGGCTCGGCTCACCTGGACTTCTGAGAGAATGCCATAGCACAGTATCTGTGCTGGGCATGTGATGTAAGTGAGAAACAAACTTTCATGGTTTAGGCCACTAACGTTTTGGAGATGTTTGTTACTGCAGCATGACAAGGCTAATCCTGAGACGTACCTGCGTTAGGGAGGCAGTATTGATTGTCTCTCTGAAGTATACAAAATAGTAACATGGTCCTTATGCTTGAGCTTTGAGTGGCTAAAGCTTGTAGTGGACGTGAAGAGAAGGTGTTAGATAGTGCCAAGAAAATCTTATATTTTAAAAGCAGTTTTCTGGCCAGGTGCAGTGGCTCACACCTGTAATCCCAACACTTTGGGAGGCTGATGCAGGCTGATTACTTGAGGCCAGGAGTATAAGACCAGCCCAGCCAACATGTTGAAACCCCATCTCTACTTAAAATACAAACATTAATAGGTTGTGGTGCCACATGCCTGTGATCCCAGTTACTTGGGAGGCTGAGGCAGGAGAATTGCTATAACTCAGGAGGCAGAGGTTACAGTAAGCCAAGATAGTGCCACTGCACTCCAGCCTGAGTGACAGAAAACTCCAACTCAAAAATAAATAAATAAAATAAAAATAAAAGCAATTTTTTGTCTTCTCAAAGGAACGTTGATTTCACCTTCCAGGCAAACATTTATTTGAGAACACCAGAATGTGCCCTTTGGTCATTAATGTGAATCAAGAATACTCACAAAGATTCTTAGCAGAGCATGTGGAAGACCCCATGGATTAAATTTGGCTCTTTTAGAACAGGAGGCAAAGCCTTGACTTGGAAATGTAAATTGTTACATAGACTTGAGTCAGAGTTGTGGCTCAGGAGCTTTCTTGCTTTCTTGACCAAGGAAACATATCACTCTGTCTTGGTCTTGCTCAGATATTCTCAAGGGGTAGGCAGCTGAAAATGACCCTAAGGAGAGTCTGGGTCCCTGGGGTTGGAGCAGAACCGCTACAAAGAGCTACACAAGCCACTTTCTCTCTTGTTCATCTCTTGCTTTATTCCTGGGCCTCAATAAAGACCTATCAAAAGTTGTGCCCTGGCTTTCATTTTGTGGGGGTGAATGCAGGGAAGAGAAAATGAGATACAGTGGTAAGCAGGACTGTAGTGCCTGGCCTTTCAGGTCAGGGAATGATGCAAGGCCCACTGCCCATTAAAAAAAGCGCCATCTGGAGAGAAGTGGAGCTCATGCCAAGGAGGCTATAACAAGGAATATGAGGAACCTGATGCACCCACGTGTTAACATTGGTGATGATGATAGTTAATGTCATATAGTGCTTACCATGAGCCAGTTATTGTCCTAAGCAAAAATTTTAAAGGTATCCATACACACACAAAGTGTCACACGATGACACCATGTCCCACCATGTTGGCCAGGCTGGTCTCGAACTCCTGACCTCAACCTGACAGCAACCTGCAAGGCTTTCAGAAATACATTGGAAATACACTGTAGGAGTGGGTGGAGTTTGACTTCTACAACTCAGCAGAGAGGGACTGGGAGTAAGGGGTTAATGACTGTCTTTTGAAATAACATGCTGGCAGTATCTGGACACATCACATCCAACTGTTTAGTTGAGAACGTCTATAACTGTGCTTATATTATAAAAATCATAAGATGTTTGTTTTACTCATTGTCTTAGTCCTTTCCTCCTTCCATGATTACTCACAGTAGAGGAAGTCACTAACTCCCTAATAATTGATTAACTTTACGTCCTGACCTCCTGGAGGCTGCCTACAAGATTAATAAACTTGCTTTTTCCAAAGGACAATGATCCTTAGGTCATACAGAACTTCTTTGTTTTTCTTGAGACAG